TGATCAAAATACATCTGTTATCTTAAAGAAGCCTCGTCTCAAGTCTCTTTATTTGGCTTTAGTGAGACTTGGGAAATAAAAGGTGCCATACATAATTAATCTTTTAAGCCAGTGCAGACCACCTTTTTTTCTGGCCTGGAGTTACAATTCCTTTTGTCCCCACAGTCCACTAGGAGGCAGTTTTGATGATGTGTTGATTTCACTGAAAAGCTTTTCAGCCCTTTTTTTGACCCTTTTGGTTTTAGTAGTGTTAACTACAAAATAGGTCTGTTAATACATTAATACACTGCCATTTTTGGCACATATAAAGCAAGACATTATAGTGATTTTGTCATCACATACCAGAAGCTTGGTCTGGGGGAGGGGAATGGCAATGCATGTGGGCAACAGATTATCCACTCCTGCTTTAGAAGCCAATTAATGGTTGCCATTTACATGAGTGTTGCTGAATACAAAATATTTAGCAACACTAATATAAATGCCCGTTTTCAGTGAGATAAGTATTTTATATTACTGCTCCTGGAAAAAAAAGGTTCCATTCACTGCTGTCTGACTTGAACAGTATGATTCATTAGCTAGAAACAGCAAGATGAATTTTTTCATTTAACCCAATGTCAAGTTCCTAGATGACAAAATAATAATTTTTTATTATTTTATTATTATTGGATTTTTATACACACACACACACACACACATATATTTGGTGTATAATATGTGTGTGTGTGTATATATATGTGAACTCAAGGCAGTGAACATACCTAATATTCCTGCCATCTATTTCCCCACCACAACATGTGAACCCATTGAGAGACAGTGACTGGCCCAAAGTCACCCAGCTGGCTTTCATGCCTACCCCACATTTAAGCCTTATGTAAATGTTGCCTTCTCTTACAAAATTCTGCCTTTCTCCTGTTAAAGAAAAGTTAAATCTTTGTCCTTTAATTGGTTCTCTATTCTAGAGCTCCAAAGTCCACATTCACAAGAATCCGGACTGGCTATAAAAGTACCACCATGTATAACCCAAACTTTCTCTTCTTCTCACCCAATCTCAAATTGTCCCCGAAGTAAATGGGATACTTTAAAAATAAGCACTGAATGTCTAGCTTTGCTTTTGATGGAAAGATAATTTGATGTACCTCTAAGTGCCAACAAGTATTGGGGGGAGGTACATTTGTATGCATATCTCCACACAAACCTCTTTTCCCATCCCTCTCAAATCTAGATTTGTATAACATCTACTGTTAATCCAGCATCTACAACTACCTCAACAAAAATTACAAGACATGGGCTTCAGATTTCAACAATATGAGAACTGTCATCAACAGTGAGCAAATGTCACCTACTTAGATTAAGCAGCCTGTGTCAAAAAATATTCTGGAGTAGCAAGAGGACACTGAGTATACTTCATACAATTACGTGGCACTCATTTGATATGCTATCCCATTATTCCAGAAAGATGGAAGATTGTCGATTAATCTTTCTTCTATTGAACCTCTTCCATGAAGCCTATTTATTCCTCTACCTCTCCCACCCAAAGATGAAGTTTTCATCTAATACAATTCAGGTAGATAATAATACTACAAAGATGGTACTGCTAGGAAACAGCAAGTCTAATACAAGGCCCCATCATCTAACAAGGAGCTCCAATTACATAGCAAAGGACATGTGCGGCCCTCAGAACAATGTCAGAGAGTTTAAAAGGGGCCATCCTGCTTCACTGGATGAAAAAACATATTAGAATATCTTACTTTTGCAATACCCAATAAAAATCTCCACTAGCACTCATGAAATTGTATTTTAAAATAATATTCTAGGCCTTCAAAAGCAGAATTGCTTTAATGGAAACTCTAAAATTGAAACTGGCCATCTCCCACTAAGGTACAACCTTTAGTTATCTACTGTATTTATTTAGTTAGTTACTTATCCTTTCCATTATTTGTTTAAATTCCAGCTCTTTTGCATCTTTTGAAATGTTAAACATATCCATTTAATAACATGTTTCTGTTTGGCAATTAAAAAAGCAAAACCGTTTGCCTTTGCACTGCCTTTCTGCCAGCAATTTACTGGGGAAAATGGCTTCTAATATTGTTACAACCCTAAATGTTTCTAGTGGATAAGAGGAACAGAATCTGCTGTGCCTGAAAGCTTACACTGTTGTCCACTGTCCTCCTTGATTGTGACATTCCAAGAAAAGCAATCCTGAACTTGGATGAAGCTAAAAAGCTAACCAATGAGTGACTACATGCTAAAAAACAGAGTAAGTAATCTCTGCCTCGAGGCCAATCAGAGTTCTGAGAGAAACCAGTGGGCATGTGGTCATGACTTCATTTTTCCTGGAAACTAGTGAGTGCCGTTTCTCCTTCCCTTAACTTGTACCTTGGATTTGTCTACAGTCTCTATTCTTTGAACAAGGAGTCCACAAAACGTACCTCTGAGCCTACACTATGAATGCCTCAGTGATAACGCACAAGAACTCGGAATCTAGCATTGCAATATTTTACCCAATCTTAAAAATGTTCTTCTTAAAAATGTCATTATGATCACCCATTATTTCTCAATTATCAAAATATTAAAATTCATCATATTTTTTCATGTATATTGGTCACCTCAGTAGATATTCAAGAAAGGTTAGTTGACTAATTTTATATGTTGGAGATGTAACAAATTTAAAGGAACACATACAATTTGGACTTGCTCTCCGGTTGTTCCATTTTTGTTTAATATTTATACTCTTATTCACATGGCATTGAAAAGAGAAATTAATGTTTAAAAATTTGATAGTAGTATTAAAATATGTACCAAAAATTTGGAATTTGTGATCTATGAGGAACTTTGGGTATAAGGGGCATGGGTTGTAGCAAACAAGATAATAATGCATGGCTGGAAAGAAACTACAACCTCAGATGTAACAATCTTGCACTGAAGAAATGTGTTTACTTTCAGCCTTCGAACTGGCCCTGTACAGAAGCAATGGAAACACTCAAAGGATCTGCATGACACTGTCAAGATTCCACTGGTTGTTCAAAAAATGTGTCACTTCATGATGTGATGTGTTTTATGCAAACATTGGGATGTATTCTATTTTTGTTTTTAGAAGCTTTCTTTACATATTTTTTTCTTTTCTTTTTTTGTACTTTAGCATATAAAACAATAAACATTAAAGAAAAATGAGGGACACATTACATCCAGGCTTTCACTGTAACTCAAAAACTCATATTTTAATTGAGTGTTCTAGACAGTCTCTGGATCTTTTAGTTTGCTTTGCTCTAAAATTCATAAAAACATCTGCAAATTAGGAACAGCTTATGGCACAACTGAAGACCAGTATTTTATATCAATAGTGACTTGAGTTTTCTCTTAGGAATAAAACAGGAAATATCTGAATATGACTTACCACAATTGGAACACCAATGTCTGGCCAAAGGAGATCTTCTGATGGAAGCTTGGGGGAATTCCAGACCACTACAACTTTATTTAAGTAAGGGAGACCATTGAGCCTCTCTAAGGAGTTCATTAAGACTTCCTCTCGCTCATAGGTTAACATGACTACCGTAAACTGCTCCCTGGGAACATTGCCACCCAATGAAGCTTGGAACTCCTTCCCAGAGCCACCAGCTCCACCACCAATGGGTCGAAATCCAGTGCCTGACCCTAGAAACTTGGCTTCTGAGGGTAGAACAGGATCAAAGGGCGTGTGAGGAAAGAGGTGGAAAGGACCAGGAGCTGAGTTCCAGTTTCTGTAAATATCCATTGCTGTGAGAGTAAAATTGCGTAAGTATTTAGGAGATGAGTAAGGTGGTTCTGTTTCTACTGGCCCCAAATCTAAATCCCCATTGTCCGCCATATTGGGATCTGTGCCAGCAGCTTTGCCAGACCGGTGAGGGATCTCCACCGCCATTTCCTCTCGAATGGGAACAGCTGGAATTTGGATTCGAGTCCTTATGACAGCCAAGACTGTGCTAAAAACACTGTCTGAAGTGGAAAAGTAGGTTTCCCATAGGAAGCGGCCCTGCCTCCTCATGGCCAAGAGGTCATTGTCAGAAATACTCCTTAGAAGGAAGTGCACTTCTGTAATACGTGGCTTTGGTATAATTAAGGCCGCCTCATTCCACCGAATTACATCATGGTAAGGCAGTTGGACTTGCTCTCCCAGGATGACTGGAATAGCACCTACTTCTAGAGCCTCAAACAGTCTCATTGCACAGCCAGCAGAGATCATAAGATGGGTATCCCCCGGAGTGATTATCAGTGCAAAAGTAGATAATTTCAGTAGCTCTAGTCTGTCTTCCCTTTCTCCACAAAGAGCCCACTCAGTGGGCAGACTTGCCTTTGGCTGATTCTTACATGTAAATTCCACCAAGACAAAGTCCAATTTGCTGTCTTGGACAGCCTTTAATGTGGTAATAATCCTATCATCATAGTCTGCTGGTGCATTTCCTTCAATCTCTTCTTCAAATGATCGCACTTCTTGTAAGCTGGATCGGAGAGATTCAACCTTCTCCCCTTGGAAACTGAATAAGTATTTTCTCTTCACTGGCACCTGGGGTGGGATCTCTAGGAAGTTAGGTTCAGACATGGCATGGACAAGAGGAGATACTACAATGTCAAAACCTGGACGATACTGTACATCATAAAAGGTGGACTGGGCAATCATGGCCCTCCCCGTACTGACATTATAAAGAAAGTTTTGAGTTTCCGACTTCCTGGATAAGTTAATAATGAGGTGGTTATGTCCATCTGTCCTCCAATATGGCAGAGCGTGCAACTGTTGCTCTAATTCAGTAGGTTTTGGCATTACAGGTTCCTGCATTTCCCCTACTAGGATAATGTAGAGACAGGCAATGTTCGCATTTTCAGTAACATATACATTAGTTCTGACAGTGGATTCAAAGGCTTGCTTAATTAAAGGATCTAATGAGCTCCCAAAATTGAACTGGTCACTGTTGTAGACATATACTGGGAAACCAGAGGTTAGCGGACAACGTGAATAGTCAAAGCAATTATGCAGCCGGCAGTTTCTATTGGATTTTGGCAAGGGAAAGCTAGAGTCATCTTTGTCTGGTAGCAGCCGAATCGGCAGTGAAAGCTTGGGCTGGTTCTGAGCCATCAGCTCTTTATATGAATGCTCTGTTTGGCTGATAACATTCTTCAGCTGCAGAAGATCCTGCTTCGCGTTTTCAATGCTTTTCTTGCAGGCTTCAATCTTGAGATTCAGCTTGGCAATCTCACTGTTCAGCTCCTGCCGCTTAGCTTCCAATTGGAGCAGCTCTTCGCTCACCGACTCTCGAATTCGGCATAAATCCTCAACATGCTTCACCTCACAAAGTTCATTGCCTATGCGGGGACCAAAGATGCGCTTGCCAGCATCATCTACATCATCTATGGTGGTTAAGTAGTAATGGGCAATGAGGGGAAAGAAGACCAGGATAATGAATAACGTGAAGCTAAGCCAAGTGAGTCGAATCCGACTAGACCATCGTAGCATCCAAGGTTGGCCTCCATTCCCTACTCCCCCATTCCGCAACATTGTATACCCAGTCATGAGTCCCAAGGTTGATGCCACACCTCTATCACGTGGGATCAGTAGCCATACCCAAAACAGTTTGTATCCCAAAGTCTCCAGAAGGAAATACTATTGTGCCTGTTTGACAAAGGGCCAATAGAATGGAAATTTCATCTTCTTCTTGGGATGAAGGATACAACTTCTGATTTGACAGGAACCAACGATCAGTTAACTGGACATTGCAAGGCGAGAGAGAACAGGATTGACATGGCAATCAGAAGTCTTCTCTGGGGCAGACACACACAAAAGGAGCACTCCAAAGTTTACTGTTACTTTCCACATTCTGAATTAGCATCCAGTGAACAAGGCAAGCAAGAAGAATCCCACGCTATGAGTATCCCTCGCCGTCATCATGCTGCCGGTGTCCACTAGCCTAAAAAACAACAATAATATATCAGATCATACAAGCAGTGAAGGTTTCATTAACCTCTGAAAATAGAGGCCATTTTTTCGAACAGCAAAGCAGCAATAAGAGCATACTGCTCTACCTGCTACCTTTACAAAACGATGCTGATCAGAAACTGTCTGGAATGTAGGTCTGATGTTAGTGTCTCTGTGCAAAACAGATATAATCTTTCTGATATAAAATGTACAAACATATAAATACTAAATCTATACTGTTTGAACATAAAATCAAGGTGGGCCTTGATATCAATCAACTTTATTTATCTTTGGCAAAAGATTAGGAAGCAACTATGACAATGGTTGGGCAAGAACAAGTTTCTGAGTTTCTCAAGTAGAATTTAAGAACCATATTAACAAAAAGCTTTTATCTCCAAGTATTTCTGTTCTTACTCCTTCATGGACAAGAGATTTCTGATGTAATTTCTACCAATGACATAAAGGGAACTGGCTGGGGATAGAAATTAATCTTACCTGAGAAAAAAATCAGCTGCACTAATGGAAGGTAGCAGATTTAAGAGGCTGAAAGATTTTCCTCACACATCGTAATTGGCTTACAGAATTTATTGCAAGTCACAATGAAATAAAACATTTTGTTAAAAAGAGGAACAAACAAAGGGAGGATGAAATGTCTGCTCGATGGTATTAGTAGTCTCACATTTAAACAGAAAGGATACCTAAGAGATCTATTCTTGGTGGCATCCCTTCAGTGCTAGAAATGTTTCTTCCCTCGCACCTGGCTTTCCCACCTTAGGGCACTCCAAATATGCAGTTTAATAAATGCAGAGGGGTGCAAGAAAGATTGCCTTAGTAGTTCATGAGCATTCAGGCCTGGACACCTGCCAAAAGTATTATAATACCATCTTTATTGGGATTGGCGTTTAAATCACAAAAAGCTACAATTCTTCTTACTTAAAAAAAAAAAGAGTTTTGTTGCTTCGGCTAATACAAGAATGTGAAGAGAAGATAAAAATACTCAGCCACATTGGAATGAATACCAGTGAAGTCGTTTACAAACACACTGCCCCCATTCATTCATAATGCCACCAAGCAAAGGGCATCAACATAAATTTCACAAGGAAAAAGTGAGATACAGTCCTGCAAAAACAGGAAGAAACAACCATGGATTTTTAGCTATGTAGGTTATAGGGATGGATGTGTGCAGGATTTTTTTTTTTTTTTTGGTGCCTCCAAGTCAGTCTTGACTCCTGGCTACTACCTGGACAAGTTCATGCAGTTTCCTTGGCAACGTTCTTCAGAAGTCAGTTGCCATTGCCTTCTTCTTGTAGGGCTGAGAGAGAGGGACTGGCCCAAGGTCACGCAGCTGGCTTCATGTCTAAGGCAGGACTAGAACTCACAGTTTACCAGATTCCAGCCTGGTGCCTCAAACCACTACACCAAACTGGCTCTCAAAAAATAGATATACCTCTGTTGAAAACACATTAGCACATAGACCTGTATTATTATGCTGATATAAGCATTAATAGGTATTACTATGCTGGTATTATGCTGTCCAACTGTTAAATCTTCAAAGTAATATATTATCATTGTGCCACTGGATCCTATTGCCACCCCTAGGCTGTATGAAATTTATTGGATGCAGAATATATGCAGCAACTAACTACTTAAGCTAAGACAAAGGTTCCAAAACATGCTTTGTAAAAATGTATATAATTTATAGCATCTGAGCTCCTGCCAGGAGAGGAGGAGATTCCAGGAGAAGAAGTATGTCCAAATCTAACCTCTGTGTCCCTTTTTACTCCCCTCCCTCTTTCCTCTACCATTTCTATGTCTGGACCAAATACTGTCAAGGTTTATCTCATACTGACTATCCTTGTTGAACTGTTCTTTTTTCTCTCTTCTTCTATACTGTACCATGTTTCTCAATCCCAGCTGGCTGGGAATTCTGAGAGTTGAAGTCCACATAACTTAAAGTTCCTGAGATTGAGAAACACTGTTCTAGCATGTCTTCTCTATTTATACCACAATCTTGTTTTTATTTTTGCAATTCTGTGCAAAACCTGGCAGTTTTAAATTATTTATATGATCAGCAAGTAAGATAATTTGATTGAAATGGAAAATATGTATTCATGTACCTTGTGGAAGGCATAAGAATACTACAACAATATGGATCATCCAGTTATATTAAAAAATGGGTGATTCAGGACAGAGAAGAGGAAGAGAGCATGACCCAGAGCAGATAGCAAATTCCATAATCTTAATTATCACAAGATTTAGTGACAGCCATCACTATGCATGGTCAAGAAAGAATTAGACAAAATCACAGAGGATAAGGCAATATATTACTTTCAGTATGAGTGATTTTACAATATCAATTTACTGGGAACAACAATTGGAGCAAACCAATATTTTCATTCTTGCTGGTAGGCTTCCTGTAGTCCTCAAGTTAGTCACTGTAGGAACAAAATAGTGGAATACTGGAGTTTTATGTTTTTATCTTAGGATAGACATTTCCCTTTCTGTAATGAAGAAGGGAAAAGCCTATCATCCAAAATGGTAGTTCTATCTGCAATTTTTAACAGCTGTTAAAAATAGTGCAATAAGACAATACAAAATTAAGTCTAAAATCTAGTAAGCCTTGTAAAAAGCTTCCTAGAGACAAAGCCTTCTCAGTGGCTATGTCTCAGTGCTGAAGTCCTGTAATGTATAAAAGTGCCTGCCTCCAAAATTTATGCATAAGTAAAAATTACTGTATTTTCCTGGGCTTTCAAGGTTTTATTATTTGTTTTTAGCAGCTTCCAGTTATTTGGCTTTTAAAGATTCCAGTGTTGCTAAAATGTACTGCACTGTGTGATTGTTTTATTAAAGTTGTTTTAAATTATTATAACAATTTAATTTAAAACTATAATAATTTAAAACAATTAATCAACCTGGTAATCCTATATCTGAAAGGTGGGACAAAAATATTTGAAATAAGGATTCCAATATTTCCCTACTTCTGCTAGAATATTTTGCTTAAATCTCTATTTTTGTGCTGTTTCCACATCCAAGACAGATAAAAGAGGATCTCTTTTTATGGTTGTATTACTGTGGGCAAAAACAGCTTTTGGATTTTAAATTGCTTTATGTGACTAATCTTGAGCAGAAAACCACAAAGCAAAAATTTAAAAGCAGCCCTTGGAGAATTTTCCAGTCGTGAGATGCCAGATTTCATAATGCTGACACATGTTTTGTGTTGCAAAGATGAGCCAAGATATGCATCATGTCTTGGAAATGAGGATCCAAAAACTGCCTGTTTGCTTTTCAAAAGGTTCATTCTTAGCTAGTAAAAGCTTTCTTGAGACCACAAAAGGATAATGTTGGCCAAGCAAGAAAAATGGCTTAGATTCCTACTTCTAATATCATCTTAAATGAACAACATATATAAATGCTGAGCTTCAGCAAAAAGACATTTTAATTATTTTATGGATTTATCTAGCATGTGTCTATTAATACAGTGCAGATTCTAAATTAATAGGCATAATTGTGGCTGAAAATGTTTAGAAGTTATATATAAATACTGGGACTTCTCACCCTGCTATTTTGTCCTACCATTCAAATAATAATAAATGTGAACTAAGACAAACATCTTCATCCAAAAATAGAGTCCACTCTATTATCTTTCTGTCTAAAATATACAGAGAGGCATGAAATTCTGATGGTCAAATATGTAACACAGAACTACCATACATTTGCTCACAATCACTTCATCATCTAGTGATTATGTGAACAATTCCACCTTGATATTTTTGCCTGAATTTATTTATTTATTTAAAAGATGGTGCACCCAGAACTGCATGCCACTGCATTCTGGACCAGTTGTAATTTCCAGATGATCTTCAAGGGCAGCCCCATGTGGAGTGTGTTGCAGTAATCCAACCGGGAAGTGACCAGGCCATGAGTGACCATGAGCAAGACCTCCAGGTCCAGGAAAGGGCACAACTGGTACACAAGATGAATCTGTGCAAAGGCCCCCTCTAGCCATGGCTGCCACCTGCTCCTCAAAAAGGAGCCGGGAGACCAGGAGGAGCCCCAAACTGCACACCAACTCTGTCCAGGGGAATGCAACCCTGGCAAGAGTCAAAGATGGTATCAAAGATGGTATCTCACCAGTCCCATGAGGATCAAAATCCCAGAGCTATTCCAGCTTGCTATGGTTGAGTCAAAGCCAGTTCCTCCCCATCCCAACTCTTACACCCTTCAGGCACTGGGCCAACACAGGGACAGCGGTGCTTGGTAGCCAGGGCTAAAGATGTGTAACTGAGTATCCTCTGTATGCTGATCATACTGCATCCCATGACCTCACCCAGCGGTTTCATGTAGATATTAAATAGGAGAGGGGAGAGATCAGAGCCCTGAGGCATCCAACATAAAAGAGGCCAAGGGGTGAACCTCTCCATTCCTGACGAACACTGACTGAAAGAAGGGGGAGAACCACTGCAAAACAATGCCCCCCACTCCTAATCCCCAGAGCCAGTCCAGTAGGATACCATGGTTGATGGTGTCAAAAGCCACTGAGAAATCCAGGAGGGCCAGGACAGATGTACCAACCCTATCCAGAGCCCTCCACAGGTCATCCACAACTATGACCAATTTATATCCCTGCTTTATTCCCCAAACTACTATGACTGGTGAAAGCTAAGTTCAATGTGTAAAATATTTCATTAAAATCCAATTCGAATGACTGAAAAAGCATAAGTCGACATCTTGTCCTGGTGTCTGGAGGCTGTGGGAGCATGGATGGGATGCAATGGGTTTCAGCTCCTGTAGCAAAACTCAGTGGCTTTGGATTTCTGGACCTTCTGATGCCAAAGATCTTCCACCTTTGGTTTTAGGTGGGGTGGCACTGCCTCAGACAGACCCAGTGTGCAATCTGGGGGTCCTCCTGGACTCACAGCTGTGGCCAGGAGACTCTTTGGGCTGTGTGCCAGTTGTGCCTGTTCCTGAACCAGGAGGCCCTGCTCCCTGCCA